TGGCTCAGAGGAAGCATGCTGAGTCGGAAAGAGTAACTGAGGGTTTGAAGAAGGAGATTGAAGGGATTGTCAGAGAAAAGAATGAGATTGAGAAGGAAAAACATGGGCAAGAAGTGAGACTTTTTCGATTGGAAAATGAAGTGGAGCATTTGAGTAAGGTTGAATTGAATTTGAGGCAAGAGAAGGAACTGTTGCACCTTAAGGTTTTGGAGTTGGAGAAGAGTATTAATGAGGCTATGGGGAAGGAAGAGGAGAGGGAGAGGGACATTAAGGCATTAGTGGAAGAGAAGAGGGAGAAGGAGCACAGCATTGAAAGGTTAAATGAGGAAGTGAAATCACACAAGGCACTTTTAGATATGGTTACTGAGGAATTGAAAAACAAGGAGCAAAGAATTAAGGAAATGGAGCAAAAGAAGAATGAGATGGAGGAGGCAAAAGTAAATCAAGAAACTGAAATTGCTGAGCTGAACAGAGAAGTGGCTGAACAAAGGGATATTGTATCTACACTGCGAAATTCATGCAGTGGGCAAGAAGATAAGAATGAACGATTGGTCTCTGAAGTTAGTCAATATAAATATGCTGTTGACCGTGTTATGCAGGAGAGGTCCGAGGCTCAGAAGAGTTTGGATGGGGAGAAAATGAAAGTGGAAGACTTGATGCTGACTATCTCAGATAGGGAGAAGACAATTAAAGAAACTGAGAAAGAGTTGGGAAAACTAAGGAGTGAGCGTGACAACGTTTCTGAGAAAAATGAAGTGATGGAGAGCCGCTTGGAGTCATTGGTAAAGGAAAAAGATGTGATGCAGAAGAACCTTGTTGAGGCTCTGAAGAAAATTCATGATTGGGAAGCTAAATTTGAATCAGAAGGAGCCAAACTTAAGCGAGCTTTGACTATGTTGAAGAACACTGCAGCACTGGTATCTTCTAAGTCTGAAGGTAAGGAAGAAGTGGTTCCCAATGATCACAAGCTTGGAAAAGAAATTCAACCATATGTGGTGGAGTTGGATGCCATACAGAATGCTTTCAGAAACAAGGAGAAGATGGTTGGAGACTTGAAGCAGCAAGTTGAGTCACTGCAGAAGGTAGCAGAGGCACAGAAGAAGAAGAGTTTCTGGACTTTGGTGTCATCAGCAACAACAATTATTGCTGCAGCATCTGTTGCATATGTTGCTAAAGGACGCTGAGTAGTTCATCAGCCAATTTTGTTACAAGGACTAGGTTGCTCTTGGTTCTTGTATCAACCAGTCAAGTGCTACTTGACGGCACGGTGTTATCATGTTTGTCCTTTTTGAACTTCTAATCTAGATAATAATGTTTTTGGTGCAGAAATAGGTCTCATGGGATACTTTGATATGCTATGTTCTTTTGCCAGCTATATGAATGAAGGAATAAGGATATCTTATCTGAATCAATGGGATTCTCTGCCTTTTTTACTCTTCTGTTGTTTCATATTTGAAAATGCTCACGTTTCCTTCTAGATGGCATATTGTGAAGTATGTGGTGTGATCTACTTTGCTATATCCTTTTGTTGGTTAGGCATGTCTTGATGTTTGCTTGCTCACTTTTTTTCAATTGAGGAATGCATAATTTAGAGACAAATTTGGCCCAAAGATTATTCAGATTTCTATGCCTTTTGTCATTTAGGTCTTGCATAAAATGAGACAAATTATCTGTGCTGGAAAACTGACTAATGAAATATTCAATTGATTCACCATCTATAGAAGGCCATCTGTGCCAAATCTCAGTTCTGATGATGATACTGTCAATCATTCATCTTTGAGTGGTGGAAGAAACTAGAAATGTTTCCTTTCTGGCAGCCTAACTAGGTTTTTTATGACATGTGTGCAATGAGATAAATGGCATGAACTAGCAGGCTTTATCCTTGTTGATCAGACCATGGATGAATAGCTACTCGGAGCAGGGCCTGCCATGCCACTACATGGCTTCTGCCCACATATGGAATATCACGGTGGATGATTGGATTTTAGTGCAATATTTTACAATGCACAGAAGAGACCAAACAATACAGTCCAAGATTATATGGAGAAGGAGAAGAATGTATGACACCCTGGCCCAAGCATTTTTGATTTTGGGCCGGGTTCCTAAGCTTTCCCCCCTGCAAAACGCTGTAGTACCTTTTGTCTTGTAAACCCAATTAACCGATGAAGACAATCTTTCCCATTTAATAATTTCCAACTGCGTGCAAACGTGGATTAGGTCGGTTATTCAGGAACACCAAACCAAGTGTGTTTAGAATAGTTTAAACTATCGTTGTATTTAAAAAAGTAATGAACTAATTTCCAAGTGTATTTGAAGAACACTTTCGTTTTCATCATTAGACTGTATTATTCAACAATTCAGTGATAAGCATGCTGACGACAAACATCTTCACATCATGGAAATGAATTATGGCTGCCATGGATCATATGGTATAGACCGATTCAACCGATTAAGAATATGTTTTCAAAGCCAAGAACGCTTGACTTTATTTTGCTAACGTCAGTTGATCTGATAATTGTTGGCTGATATGAATTTTTCATAGTGGATGACGACTGTGTTTGGCAAAACCTCAAATTATATAAACAAACAACCACATCTGACAAACAAACCCACTTGTGTTCCTCTCCTGTTAATTAACTAATAGCAGGCTTTCTGGGTACTTTAATTTAAAATTAAGAAGAAAAAAAACAGATTAATTAACACAAACAAGGCGTCATGATGTCATTTTCAGAAGCTTAGCTGTTGCTTGCTGTGCCAGTTTTTAAATCATTGTGAAAGCAACTCACCCAGATTAGATGGCATTGTTTGATTCTAAGTGTGGTCCCTTAGAAAAGCACCCACAGGCCAACCACCACTAGTAGGGGGGTACTTTTTTCCTTTAGAAACAAGCCATTTTTTGCATTTCCTCTACCACCTTCTGAGTTACACATGCAGAAAAAGAGAGGAGAGGCATTCATGAACTGACAAGGATGACCCAAAATCAGTCTCCATCAGTCCTAAAATATGAACTCTTTCAATCATTTAGCATCCTAAAGAGAATTAGAGATACAGATAATCAAGTTCACTTATATAAATCTTGAGTCAAATCCTGTTGAATATTATCATTAAAGTTGTTGATTGTATGGTTTATGGAAACACAAACATGGGCTCAAAGCCTTGAACGTCTGTAGGAGAAGAAACAATGCTATGCTATTATCCTCGTTTCACACAAGTTTTTCTGCTTCTCTTTAGCTAGTGTCCTTTAATGTGTTTTTTCTTTTCTTTTGAGGTCCAAATTCAAACGCATATGCTTATGGGAGATGCTGAGATGTGACATATTAGATTGTACTTTGGTGCCTGTATAATTTGTCATTTAGTGGCTTGTTTGCTCTTTTATTTCCTCCTTTTCCTAGGCCTTTTAGTGAGTGACTTGACCTAATACAATCACCATCCAACTCTGCCATCCCCCTTCTGCATAATGCTCCTGTAAGTCGCATTCAACTTCTCCAAAAATAAAGTTTCCAGCTTATTGCTTCTTCCCACAGCCATTATTCATTTTGTGTCGAAGAAAAAGGCCCCATAAGAACTTAGAGAGCTTTTTTAACTGATCTTAAGGAGAGAAAAGAGGAAAAGAAATACACAACATGTTAAGAGTAGACATTAACATTCACATCAAATATTGGCATACCAAGTAACTGGAACGCTTAAACAACAAAGGCAACAGCCAATACACAACCATTTTATAGAATCTAGCACATAAGTATACACAATAATACATGACAACAATACCATGGAGGGTGATTTTCCATCCATGTTCCGAATTAGCTATATATGATATAACATTAGCAAGTCACTGACTCATGGATCAGTCACTGGATGTGGGTGTTGCACCAACAATCCTGAGTGTCTTCCTCTTCATTGTGGCCAGTAGTCGGAATCCTCAAATCTGGAAGTATCATGGGACTGCTAACCTTAGTTAATCGAACCTGCTGTCTGCAAAGCTTTATCGAACCAAAATACCAAATTTTTGGAAGCTCCGATTTGCACCAGAACAAAACATGCTGATCCAGCTATATGCAGATCCACATATACCTTTGCATCCAACAACCAAGCCTAGTCCTCCTCAGACAAGAACCAGACCCCAGCAGGATCTTTTAGTACCACAATTATCAATACAATAGTAATAATCACTATAGCTACACAATCTTACGTACTGCAAACAAACCCTTCATTATTCCGGGTGAAATGTCAAGCTTAGGTTATATATCACCGCACGCGATGAAAGTCAATTCTATTAACAGTTGGAACACACAAATTTACTTATCTCATCCATCACGGTGTAGAAATGGTCATTATTTGGCAGCAAGTAGAAACCAATTGTGGCCTGCTCAAGATACATAAGTTTGATGTTTTTGCCAGCCTCCTCAAGCCCTTTAGCATAAGCCAATTGCCAGTCCTGAACAAGATCCAAACCAGCCACCACAACAAGGCTCTTTGGGAACTTGATAGCTTCAAGGTTATTACCCCTTGGACCAAATGGGTTACATGCCGGGTGGTCCCTGTCTTCCCCTTCAGGGAGAAAAGCTCTCCAATACCAGTCCCGGTCTTGGATGGTGACAAAGTATTTCCCGTCCAATCGCTTCTCAGATTCAGTTCTCTCCTGCCCACCAAACATTGGGTTGAGCAGTATATTTCCCAATACATCAATTCCAGATTCTACTGCTCTTAAAGCAACATTGTGTACAATGTTCCCACCAGAGCTATCACCAGCAAGATATATATGAACTTTTGAGTCCTTTGTACTTTTAAGCCACGATCTAGAGTTGACCCACTGCAGGGCTGTCCATCCATCATCATAGGCACAAGGAAATCGATGTTCTGGTGCCCGGCGGTAATTTACAGAGACCACTACAGCCTTGCAAATACCAACTAGTCGGCGGCACAGAATATCATATATGCCACTGTTAGCAGAGGAGTGCGCAAAGCTTCCACCATGGAAGAAAATTATGACAGGCACAACCTCATTGCTCACAGGTTTGTCAAGATTAAGAATATTCAGCACAGATTCTTCAGCATTGGCTGGTTGATAGATTCGAGTAAGCAGGCCAGTTTCGCGGTCAATGATGACATCAAATGAGACAACCCCATCAACTGGTTTTGCATTGGCTGGCACTTTCCGATCAAGGAATTCTGCCAAGTGACGGTTAAAAGTCCCATCAGGTCGACGAAGAAGATTGTAAGACAACTTGAAATTGGAGATGAGGACCCATGTATTCAATGGAACCACCGTCTGTATATAGTATAAGATCCCCAAAAAACAAATTATGTATGTTAAATTCATATTCCAACATAACAAGATAAACATGACTAAGAATCAAGAACTCCAACCAACACCAGAGTAATGGCATCTACAAAAAAAGCTTTTTGCTATTGTTTCAAGGTAACAGAGACATCATGGAACCACCACAAATGAAGGACATGAACACTTTGACAAGAAAGCACAAAAACCAAAATCAACTAAAGCCTTCCCATAAAGCAGTGGATTTGGCCATACAAGCCTAAAATCTATTACCAGTCTTCAAATACAATCATGGTTCATCTAATCAAATTTCTTGAAGCTGCTGAAGTTCAGCAGATACTCAGCCTCCCATCCCAATGCCAAAACCACAACACTAAATCCCAATCACATCTCCAAACAAGAAGAGCTTCAAAAACCTGATGAACTCGAACAAGTATAACAAACCCAATACCATATCTGTCCAAATCCTAAATAAAAACTGGTCAAAACCTCAACTTAAACAAGAACAAAGTCTTCAGACCAACCAAAGAAACAAGAACAAATTCTGGCTTTCTATAACAAAACCACAAACCAAACCCCACAACACAGAGAACCCATTAAGATAAGCAAACCATCACCCTAAAACACAACCCAGAGAAGCTGAGCCAAAACGAAACTTTGAATTAAACAAAAAATCAAAGAAAAAGTGGTTACCCTGGATTCATTAACGTTGACTTCGTTGGTCCCAGCCATGGAAACTGGTCTGAAGAAATTCCACACCAAAAGCTCAGCTAGTAGAAAACCGAACACAGATCCTCTGAGAGCAAACCCACTTCAGAAAGACAAAGCCTCACGTATTCACACTCAAATAAGAAGCAAAGCCAGCCAGGCTGCACCTAACCTTTGAATCTCTCCAACTTTAAGATCGTACTTCGTTAACCCATTGGTCCCAGACAAAACAAGCCCCTAATCTCTAGGGGAAACCTCTCTCTGCATTCATGTGATGAAATGACAAATCTCACTACAATAAAACAGAGCAATAGAGAGTGTGCTTGTGTGGAGCGGGTGCAGGATAAGAGCGCTGGCGTATTTTAGCATACAAGTGAGGGCGTATGCTAATGTGCGGGATGAGTGCAGAGATGACGCGGGAGATAGAGGGGAAGGGGACAAAGTGAGCGGCCGAAAGAAACACGGTTAGTGGAACCCACCTATCCAAAAGAAATTAAATTCGTTAATTACTTGATTTTCTTAAATTTCTTTTTAATAAAATAAAAAGGAAAAACAGGAGAAAGTGAGGAATTTAAAATATTTGGATGGATGGAGCAATAAAAGCTTCAGGGCGTGTGGTGGAAGGCAGGGCACGTGAGGACAAACAGAGCCCGTCCGAACACAAAGTACTACTTTTGGCGGTGCCACAATGACCGTTTTGTCTTTCATTTTGGATCGTATTTACGGAAATGTCATTGTGAGTGTGAGTAGATATTTTTTTAATCGTAACACGTGACGCGCGAGCGATACAACTGTAAAAAAAAAAAATAGTAATGTATGCAATGGTTAGTCGCCACAAGTAATTCCTCATCATTTATGCACGTTGATGGTTAGATTCCATCTACGTACATATGGATGACACTATTAACATTCTATAACGAGAAATTCTAGCTGGTGATTCTCAGTAGTTGATGATAACGAATCAACAAAACACTAAACGTTTAGTATCCGTTAACACGAGTGTGAGTTGTTGTCAAGGTAGTTTATGCTATTAATATTTGTAATGAGATATTATGGTGGATGGTTCCTACCTAATAAGTGATGAAGGCGGGTCAACAAAACATTAATAACTAACATACATTAACACGAGTGTAAGTCCGTGCACGTGATTGGCGCTATCAAAATTTGTAAAGAGAGATTCAAGTATGTGATTCCTAATATGTGCTGAAAGAATATTAACGAAACACTAACAGCTAACATCCACTAAGATGTGCCGTACACGTGGATGGTGTTTTCAAAATTTGTAACGAGAGATTATGGTGGGTAATTCCCAATAAGGGATGAAAGTGAGTTAACAAAACATTAATGGCTAACACATCCACTCACACACGTAACGTGAATGTACAAGTGACTGACATTATCAAAATTTGTAACGAGAGATTATGGTGGGTGATTCTTAGTAGTTCATGAAAGCGGGTCAATAAAACACTAACGACTAATATTCACTAACACGCATGTGAGTTGTTGTTACAAGCACAACTTAATGGCATAGCCAATGTACAAGATTTGTGCTATCGTAGAAGTGTATATTATAGTGTATTTTGAAGCTCTCTTGTAATGCTTAATGTACATTTAAGTCGCGATTAATTTTGCTCCATTATATTTGGTTATATTGTACACTTTCCGTTTGGAGAATAAAAGCAAAAGATAGTTCACGATCAATCAACACTCTTTAGAAAAAGCTGCTGCCTCCTTAAGAACAGAAAATACATGTGACAATACTTAAACAGTGAACAAAACTAATCTTCCACAATCATGCTTTTCCCCCTTCCAAAATCCATTGGGACAATGTCACGTTTTCACATTTAGTCGTTGTCATTAAGCCCATAACGAGCTAAAGCTTAATGACAGTTACATTTCAAGCTCTGTTGCTTCCTTACTTTTTAACTTTTTGAAAACAGAGAAGACCCTTTCATTTCATTTCATCAGTAAACGTTTATTTTTTTGGCATTTCCAACACTTTGATTTCATTTTGAAAACAAGAAAACCAAAAACCCAAAAACCCAAAACCCAAAATATATAATGAACTAACTAGACTAGTACGTCATCTTCATTTTAAAATTTTCAAAAATTGGAAAGAAAATAGTACGTCCTTTGCATCTTGATTGCCTGTAAAGTAAGAAAGAAATATCATAAGAAGAGGAAAAAGAAAAAAAGAGCTATACTCTGTGAGTAGCAGTACTAGAACTATTTGTAGGGCAGTTGGCAACGAAAACAAACAAGCACCCCTGCTGGGCAAAGGCATGCATCATCTCATCTATCATCTCTCTCCTCTCTCCTCTCTCTCATCTCTCATCTTTCTCTCAAGTCAGTAGCAGTCGCTGTCGATGAACTTCACCATCAAAGTTCTACTTTGGGTGGGACTTTCACTATTATTGTTCATGCCCACTGCCTTTGGAACCATTGCTCTTAACTGTGAGGTCAACAATTACCCACAGTTTTTGGATTCTTCTGCCTCCTGCTGCGTTTGGCTTTTGCCCTTTTCTTCTTATTTTTCTTTTCTCCTTTTTAACTCCAAATATTTCAAATATTTCCATCATCATCCTCTCCAACTCCAAGCCCTGCCCTTCCCTGCCCTGCCCTTAATGAGGGAGGGCATCTTTCTATAGTTGTTTGCCTACGTGTATGGCCCAAGATTCAACACCTAAGCTAACCCTTTCTTGTTGCCTTTATCTCTTTTGTCCTTTTCTGCGTTTTGGCTTTTCTTTTGCCACATTTTTGTTCCTTCTTGTTCTTATCTCTTTCTCTCTCTCATTTTGGGCCTAATGGGCCTTCCTTTGTTCATGAAATGGCCTTGGACATCAGAATTATATTTGTCCAGGTTGACTTGCAGCACAAGGTGGGTGGTAAGGTCCAATTACCAAATTCGTACATCGAAATTATGAATAATCTGAAGATTGGAAATCAAATTCGGTGTCTACGGAGACTTCTGGGTGTACATAGATTTTCCAAAAGTTGTTTTGTGATGTCTAAAAAGATTAGGAATCCGAGGTGCTGTGTTCGAATTTCTCATCCTCAAAATAATTTACAATAAGAAGAGCCCAAGACCGTATATTTCATCATCATCATCATCAAATATAGGAGCCTACTTGATCAGATGATCAATCAAGCGTGTTGTTCATCGTACTAAATCATCAATAATAATTACAGCTAGCTGGAAAATAGAATCTTTTTTCAAGTTTCAAGGGCCCTTTTCTTTTTCTCCTAACTAGTATTAGGTTTCCAAAAGCCAACAAGAACCCGGTGCTGTACGATCCACAGTAAAAAAATTTAAAAAAAAGAACCCGGTGCAGTACGATCCACAGTAAAAATTGTCTAACGGTACGGCTTCACCCTTCATGGCGATTGATGCGTCATGTCACGATTCAGTGTCATGCAGCTCATAGATTCCAGAATCGTATTCCGTGGGCCAACCAATCGTACTCCTACACGCACGCTTCACCGTTTGGGCTGCGATCCAATAGGTCACAACAACGGAGCCCAAAAGTTAAGAAACTTCAAGCCCATAACTTATTCTCAAACGTCGTCGTTTTTCTTTTGGGCTGTTTGCCTGTTAACCGCGAAATGAGAATCGCAAAGCGGTGGACCGTGGGAAAACTAAAAAGGACCAAAATTCAATTTCCCGCGAATTTCCAAAGGGCGTGCCACGCTGGCGATCCGTGTGACCGCACTCTCCGCCAACCAGAGCACAGCTTGACCTCTTATTTATTCCAAACCCCACTCGCATTTCAGTTTCACATTAAGAAAAACCCATCCCTCTTTCTCTCTGCCTCGCACGCCTCTCTCACTCGCCCAAGACTTGTTCTCTGTTCTAGGGTTAGGGTTTTGTGATTTCAGTTTTGATTTGGGAAAATGAGTTCTAAAGAAGCTGGTTCGACGAAGGGAGGCAGGGGCAAACCGAAGGCCTCCAAGTCTGTATCGAGGTCTCATAAAGCAGGGCTCCAGTTTCCGGTGGGTAGGATCGCCCGATTTCTTAAGGCCGGCAAGTACGCAGAGCGGGTTGGTGCTGGCGCACCTGTATATCTCTCCGCCGTGCTCGAATACCTTGCTGCAGAGGTTAGTTTGTGTTTGATCTAGATGTGTTTTTACTTTTATGGGCCGCTTGTGATTAATTGAAATTTTGGTTTTAATTTTGTTCGTGTAATGGGATTTCATGTTTGAGGGCCTTGATTCTGGGTTTAATCGGATTGTTTAACCTAGATCGAATGTGTTGGTTGTGTTATTTGAAATTGAAATTGAAATTGATTTTTGTATTTGCGTTCGGTTCTTTTGGTGAAATGAGTAAAAGTTCCTACGGTTAGTTTTATATCTTATTGATATTGAATTGAGTTTTATAGGTTAAGATTTTCATGAAAGTGATGGATTGTTGTAGTATGGAATTTGTATGGGTTTGATCTGACTTTTGGTCTGAAATTGGGTGTTTAGGTATTGGAGCTTGCTGGAAATGCTGCAAGGGATAACAAGAAGAACCGTATTGTGCCAAGGCACATCCAACTGGCCGTGAGGAACGACGAAGAGCTAAGCAAGCTATTGGGGTCTGTGACCATTGCTAATGGAGGAGTGTTGCCAAACATCCACCAAACTCTTTTGCCGAAGAAGGTGGGCAAAGGCAAGGGCGATATTGGATCTGCCTCTCAGGAGTTCTAGAGGGTTCTCTCCCTTCTGTGGAGTTAAAGAGTAGTTACTGCAGTTGTACTATATGAAGTTGTTTTTTAATTTTTTGGGATAGAGCTTGATCATTTGGTACTTGGAATTGGTATGCTATAAATGAAAGTTTGTGTTAGGATTTTCTCAACTAAATCCCCTTTTCAAGTTACTTTGTTCTCCAAAACCATCTGCGGATGTTTTAGATATTACTTGTGCCTCTGGGTATTTGATGCATTAGGGCTTGATTTCACTTCATGAGGTGAAAGAGTTTTGGATCAACTATCTCAAATCAAGTTAAAAAAAAGAGGCATATCTCTTACTAATAAATCAATCCTCAGTTTTTCGCATTCTAATCTTGCGCCGGTCTTCTCCAATTGTAAACACGACCAGCTATATTTTTCAGACCATAGTAAACCAGTTACCGAAGGAAATTCCACAGCTCAGTCAATCACAAATTTATTAAACGGCATAGCGCATCACCTGGTTCAACTAGTTTATGTGTGAAGCCAATATGATCCATTTAACTAATTTATTTCTGTCTTCGTGTCCTTTTCACATCAACAAATAAGGCCATGTTAGGGTTATCTGTGCTCTGCTTCAGGAGGGGGCTCTGTTCTCTTGGCTACATGAAATTGATGATGCATATGCTTTCAACAACAATTTCATATGGAAGTTGACCAATAAGGGGTTTTAACTTGACCAATTTCATGTTTGATATCCAGTAATTCTGAAGTTTTTGGAAAGCTAGCCTAGGTATAACTTAAATGGCTGCTGCAAGTTGTAAAAGAGGAGTTCATGGTGAGAGCAGGGTAGATATGATATTCCAGAACAAGTTGCTCATCACATTATCTCCTTCCTTACTAGTACTGCAGACCTCACCAGTTTTGGCACAGTATCCAGAAGATGCAGACAACTCCATCTCTCGTCTCCATCCTTGAATCTTGTCCAACTTTCCGACCCGAATGAATCCAACTTGTGCCAGCGGGTAGAGTTGTTGGTTCTTCGAACCACCTCTTCATTCTTCTTAATAACAAGATACAGCAGCTTCGTTTTCACTGGCGGCTTTGGCAACACGATGGCATTGTCAAATCATGGGAGCTATCTCGAAAGGCACTGATCCGTAGGTCAAAGTGCTTGATATCAACATATACAATGATGAGGGGAACAATTTACATTTCCAGGTTGGCGCTTTCTTTCTGGGTTTTTAAGGTTTCTGTCATTGAGCATGTGTAATGCAACTATCAAAGTCCCGCCCAGCTTGTTGTTCCAAGTTGGAACACTTGAACGTGTTGATACAGATGAGGGGTTGTTCAAATGGATCTCCTCTCACTGCAGATGCATTAAGGAACTGCGTCTTGAACATGTTGCCATGTTGGGTTGGCAGATATCACCATTGAAAGCTCCTCTTTGAAATCCTTTAGCATTGTTGCTGGTGGCGATAAACCATCTAATCTTAAAATATCAGGTGAGAAACTTGAAGATATACACATCAGGTGGCGGACTAATTTTTCCGGCCAATCGTGGAACATTGTTGCTCCAAACCTTACATATTTGGAATGGATTGGGAACACAATCAATCACCAGCTGGGGAAATTATTGCATTTGGAAAAAGGCAAGATTTGTCTGGTTGCTGATCACAATAGCTTTGGCAAGATGTTTGAGGTCACACTAGCTAGAAAGAACATTCACATTTATGCTCCAAGTTTAGTTTGAAGATCAGTCTGAGAGAAGTGCTTTGTTTATGGTTTAACGTTGGCTAGTTGATGTGTATTCGTCTTTGCAGGCGGGCCAATGCCATTAGATGATGTTTCTTGTTTGTGTATCACCATTGGAAGCTCACTTAGCCCCTGAATTAGCTTATCTTTTTTGGAGAATGCCTAACTTGAGTACTTTGCGCATGAAGTGCAATCCACTGCCCGCATCCCACATAACAGAGGATGTAAGTACAAGTTTGTGTTCCCCCCATAAACAGTCACCCTACTTTGATCCAATTCTTTTGCTTATATGAATGAATGGTAAGCACTCTAATTAGGGTTTTATTTTGGTTCAGTGTATAGTAAATGCAATTGATGTTTCAGTTTTAATATGAACTTAATTCCCCTTAATTCACACAACTCTATCCTTGTTTTCTACAAAATCCAGTAATTCTTAAACATTTGGAAAGCATTCAGGGCAGGGGAGATGCATAAGCTGCCTAGACAGAGTGTTGGAGTTCATACTAGCTAGGAGGAGAAGGAGGACGGTAGACAGATTTAGTGATCTTCCAGAGGGAGTTGCTCATTACATTCTTTAAATTCCTTATATAACAGACCTCACTCGTTTTGGCAGTGTCTCCAAAAGATGTAGACAACTTTATCTGTCAAGTCCGTCATTGAATTTGGATAAATTTCCCTACTGGCCTGCATCCCAGTGTGATAACCAGTCAAGGTTGTTGCGTTCTCTGGATATAGGTTCTTGATCCTTTGTGGTGGGGATAATAAGATACAACACTTCCGTCTTTAACAATGCCTCAGTGAATTCTCTCATCAAAGGACATGCTTTTGTGATGCTGTGAGATTTCAAATCATCAGTGGATCAAGAACGCAGTAAGGTGCAAGGTTGAAGTTCTTGATCTTGACATCTTCATATCTGACAACTTGAGACCATTTGCATTTCCAATTTATCAATAAACTCTGAGGTTTCCTTGTATCTTCACGGTGGATTTCAGAGTTACATGTTTTACGTTGCGTCAGAAAGGCTATGGCTAAAATGATTAAAAATTGGAGGGAGCTCGAGCAGGACATGGTTTCGTCTTGTTAAACTTGTATTAGGGTTGAGATATCAAGGCGCAAGATAAAGATTCAATTCAACGGTGGAGACAAGCTGCAACATTCCAACACATTCCGAACTATCCTCGTGTTGTATTAATAATTGTCAAAAATTAATGTACTAATCATTGAATTAAAAATATCCACAATTGTACGAATATATTGGAGTATAGATTTGTAAATACGGGATCGTTCACATAAGGAATTGGAGGCTTATATAAAGGTCTAGGTTGAGTACGTGTAGAACACTTAGTTAACACAATCATATAGGTAAGATACAAATCGAATACTAGAAATGAGTAAGGAAAATTAAATTAAATGAAACAAAACAAAAACCAAAGATAAATACAATCAAGATTTTGTATCCCTCCTGTATCGCCACTCTATCACCACGGTATTACAAGTTTATCATGTACCAGTCTGTAAGGATGGAGATTCTTTTACATTTTCTAACAAGTCATGGAATTCTGGGTCTTAGCCAAATCCAAAAATAGACAAAATTACCCTTATTTATTTTTGGATTTCCTAAGGAATCCTTTACATTTGCATGTCTTTGATTTGAAAATTGAGAGGTTTTTCTGTCTTTTTTAAAAAAGCTTTGGCTTTTTCCAAAAGTGAAAAATTTTTTTTGGCTAAAACCTAAATTTACTTTATATATATATAAGTAGTTTATATATTTTAATTATTATTTACTTAGTGAATAATTAGTATTTAAATATTTACATATATTTTATTTTTATTCAATAATATGTGAGTATTTTGTGTATAATCTTGATTTTTTTTTATTGAATTTTTTGTAAAAAAATACGTGTACTAAACAAGAAAATTACGTACGTCCGTGCACAATACATATATTATACCTTTGTTTTTAAAAGAAACTTGCATTTTACTGAGTCTTTAAGAAGTATATGGAAAACGAAAGTAATATTGAAAAATACGTACATGTATAATACGAGTACTAAACGGGAAATTGCTAAATTCTTTATACGAGTAATTATTCACAATCTCATCAACTTCTCAAGCATTCACAACCTAAGAAAATTAAAGTTACAATTTCAAGCATTCCAATTAAAGTTAAACTTCTCAAGCATTCCAATTCCAAATCCTTTAAAGTTATAAACCAAAAGGAAAATGCAAAGCAAAATGAATTAAAGTTACAACAAAAAAGAAAAATTCAATTCAAAGTTAATTAAAGTTACAAACTAAAAGGAAAATGCAATGCACCAATGTTACAAACTAAAGTTATAAACTCAAGTGTTGGTGGTGAGTGGATTTGAAGAACCCCGTTGTGTTGTTTGAGCACCAATGTTATTTACAAATAAAACAACATAGTGTAGTACATTTTATTATAAGAAGAAGCATAAATAACATTAGTATAAATAAACTAATTACTTACAAGTTGTCATATGTTCCATTTCCTTGTAAAATTCAACTTCATCATCCGTGTGGCTATACTTTGCGGTTTGCAGTAACCGCAAGTTTTGAAAATCAAATACCGCAACCGCAACCGCAAATGCGGTTCGGTTCTTAATACCGCAAATGTGGTTCGGTTTACCGCGATTGCGGTTTCATTGCGGTAAATTGTCGGTTGGTTTTTGCGATTTTTCGGTTTTTCGGTTTAAAATGCCACCCCTACGAGTAATAACATTGGAAAAGTAAAAAATAAAAAATGGAAAATAGTGAATCGGGCAATGGTCTAATAGTAATGGATAATGCTCTAAATTACTCTTATCGATAAAAGAAAATCAGGTAAAAATAATTATATGAGAAAAAAGGATTGGAATAGATATTTTAAGCGTATATCCGCACGGCTATACTATTTATTAAAAATAAATAAATAAAAGGACACCAATATAGCCGTCCGGCTATACTGTTTACATATAACAAATGAAGAGTATCGCCGGCCGTGTTATATAAATTTTTTTGAAAACGTGTTTTTTTACGTATAGCCGCGCGGCTATACGATTTACTAGAAAAAAAGAGAACACAGCTGTGCGGCCATACT